ATGGGGAAGCTGTTTGTGGTCTGTGTATGAAGAAATGCTACAGGGGTATTCCAGTGGGTCTCAATTTATTTACAGTAATCATTTTTTCCTCTTCACAAGATAACAGAAGTGAAGCTTATATACTGAATGCTCCCATCCATCAATACCCCATCTGTTTGGGGTAAATGTCACAAAAAAGAAACCTCACGTGTACTTTCTTGTGTTATATTTTTACCATCTTTACAATATTATTTTTCTTGTACTTTGTGTCGTGCCCTACTAAGTAAATCCATGTCCCTTTCACAGTGTTCTGTGGGGAACATAATGTACTGAAATTGTGGCGATCCAGAAGGTCAACTAAGTGAATAGTCAGATATTCCAGCAAATAGTGAGGTCAGTGAAGTCGTTATAACCGCGTAGTGTCGAAAGATCTATGAAGAAGTAGCCTCCCCGCAGACGTCCTTTGGGGTTCGTTTGTCACGCATTCATTTCTCGTGACAAACGAACCCCAAAGGACGTCTGTGGGGAGGCTAATGAAGAAGGTGTGGTCTCAAAATTACTACTCGTCCTTCTCGTTGTGCATGCAGGAATATAGAATGTACTAGTATCAGGGGCACCCAACGAGAATATAGTTCAAAACCACTTAAACATAACATTGTTGAACGTATTTTAACATTTAAACGGTAGATGTAGGCATATATTAATCCCCTGAAAATTTTTTATCTGTTCGGATTTCCTAGCTGAAAGTCTAGTGATCCGAAAATTATAGGGGTCAAAACTTACCTTTTCGAAAATTTCAGCCAGAAAAAAGGCTCCCGAGAATTCTAGGTGATCTTTTTAGGGTAAAAATCCGTTAAAAATGGGCAATTATACCATTTTTTAGATGTTCGAAAATCCTAGGAGAGGCAGGCAAGCAGGAAATTTTACAACAAATATTCCAAAAATTCTAGATCTCAAATTGTCTTCCGAACAGATATTTTCCAAAAATTGATGCTAGATGCCCCTGTAGTTTTCGTGTGTGCTTAGCCTGCGTAGCATGGTGGTTTTGCGTGGTTTAGTCCGGAGCACGACTGAGGGGCGAAACAGCTCCCGTCCCAGTCTCCTGGCCCGCACCGCCCTTTTTTATTCAGCGCGCCCAACCAAAACCGCCACGCTACGCAGGCTAGTTAGGCTTGGAAAAATTCTGCTCGTAAATTGGCTTATTCTCCTGCCGGCAGTGCTCGTAAAAATCGCTTATTCTGCTCAAAATTCTGCTCGGACACCCCCGCTCTCGAGCCGTATTTATTTTTGCAAATATAGTAAGGAACCTGGGCCTAACCCCTTAAAACTAATAAGATATTGTAATTCATGTTACTTTAATGTCAAAGCGTTGTAGCTATTTAATAATCGAATTAATCACAAGGTATTTTCCATTTGCTTTTTATTTAGTTTTAAATTTTTCTTACAACTGTTATGCAAATCATAATTAGCGCCGCTGACTTTCCCTTATTCTGCTCAAATTCTGCTCGAAAAAGCCCTATTCTGCCGGCAGAATTTGTCCAAGCCTAAGGCTAGTGTGTGCTGTGTGCCCTTCGAATCCCAAAGGCAGCCCTGGTAGACGTCTTGAAACCCTCAACACAGAACCGAGTTAATTGTGAACCTGAAACAACCTCATAAAAGTGAAAGTAATACTAGAAAACTCCTGTTGTATCATTTACGTAAACATATGCGTGTAATGAACAAAATTAAACGAGTGCGATGATCTTATGTTTATTGTACATGTACGCTTGACATCGAAGCACCTTGATTTTGAAACACTGACATCAAAGTGTTATTTCTATGTGAAAGGAGGATTTGTAGGATTGGCAACGTCAACTTTTTCCCATTGTTAACTGCGGTTTCGGTATTTGGGTAAATTGTGATGCGGTATTACGGTATTCTCGCGCTACCATGTGCGGTATTGCGGTATTCGTACCCCCCTTACGCCCCCCTCGTTATAGGTTTTGGTGAAACCGGTTTTTATATATTGAAATGAAAAGGGTATATCCAGTCAGAAAGAAATCTGGTCACCTTAAAACCCATATAATGGCCATAAATTAGTTTAGGGACTGCACGGGGAAGAAGAATCACGCAACTAAAGTAAGGTAAGCCTTTTTTAAATCTTTTTTAGTTAAGTCCTCATCATATGCGTAGCTTAAAAAACAATCATTTTATTTTCCGTACAAATTCTTTTCAACAGTGCCCAAGCTGGCATGTGCGAGCTTGGGTTACCTTTGGTCTATTTGCAATTTATCAGAAATGTATCGCACATTTAACGTCCGCATTCAAATGTTTACTGTTCCTTGAAGTCATGTTTATAGCGATTCTTGGTGAAGAGCAGGAAGACGACAACCTTATATAACTTTGATGTAATTTCGCGGTAGCCATTAGAGAAATTTATAGTCACCTTTGAGGCAAACGGCAGCCCTGAATTTGATCCACGTGACCTTTCTTTTTTTTTTGGTTTTTAACCGTTCCTTACTTCTACCAAAAAAGTAAGTTCACGTAATTTGCATCCATAAGATTTGTTTAGACAGTTTTTATCTGCTTATTTTCTATTTTGAGAAATTGTTAGTTTGAGTCTGCCGCTTGCCATTTGCTGTAAACTCGTGACTCAGAAAAGTCTCCGAACACAATTGTAGACCGTTTCATGATATTCTCGTGCAGAAAAAGACAAAATTGGAGTAGAATTTAGAAAGTTCCGAGAAATCGATGGGCAATATCCATATTTGGAGCCACGCGCCTGTTTTTTTCCTCCCATAAATAGAAGCAACATCAATATTTAACTGTTTTCCTATCTAACAAGATATTGGGTCCACTAGTGTATATTGTCTATCACGATCAGTTCCTGATATTATTCATTCAAAATAATTTTCCGTTTTACATTGGCTCAAATCCCCCGGCAAATTCTTCATAGTAATTGCTTTATCCCCTAAAATGGCGTCAGTAGTACGGGCTGTCATCAGGAAAAGCCGCGTCAACCGAGAGCCTTCGAGATAAGAATGTTTTAGCACAGCTGTTTTGGTAGCGCTGGAAAAAAATCGCGGAAGATTGCACCTGTTTTACGGACAGGAAAAAGCCGAACTTCTGCCTAAAATAACAGAAAGAACGGCAATAATACAACTCGACGTATGGTAAATGCTATTTGACGAATATCTTTTAAACTAAATCTCTTTATTCCGAGGAACCGGCAAATTAAGACTGGAACTTAACATCGGCTAAGTTGATTTTTAGATTAAGAATTATTATTACTATTATTATTATTATTATTATTATTATTGTTATTATTATAAGAGGTCTTATACTTAGTTATTATTGAATGAGGCTGAGTAGGATATGAAGAATTCTGCAGATCGAGGAGAGGAGGTTGTTATCGGCCGATGTGGATATCCATAAGACCCTCCGAGATATGCAGAATTCGTCATATCCTGCGAAAGCAGAATATTATTCATTCAAAATAACTGCAAGTTTAAGGACAAGCTAAAACATGCTTATCTAGGTCGATATTAAGTTCATGTCAATATATAGTGCAAAGGAAGTTAAGGAGATAAAGAGTTGTTCAGGTCCGCAAATATACTCCAGATAGTAGAAGTCGTCCGTTGTATCGTCTTACTGTTTTCGCCATGTTTTTAGACAATAGTTCTCCCTGAAACGAGTAAAACGTTCCGCCATGTCTCACTTCGAAAACGACTTAAACTCGTCCCCAGGTCTTCTCGGTTAACGGTTCAATAATATGCAACTTTTCTGCACTTTTGACGTCATCGGTTCAGTATGGCAAAATTCTTCCAAATTTGGTTAACAGTAGCTGGTTATGATGATTTATGTGTGATTTCAGCTCAACAGAAACGGAGAAATACTTTGAATGAATAATAAATATAATTAGCGTGAGTCTTTTCCAGTTGCTGTTGTGGAAGGAATAAGCAGGATCACAGTGGAGATGCCTTATTATCTACTGGGAAAAAGGGCGATGAATGGGAAGTATCTAAACATACCGTCTCTAAACCCACTAATGCTTTTGGAGAGCTCGAGTTCCAAGGAGCAGGGCAAGTCAGTCGCGCAAAGGTAAGTGGTGGACATGCCATGATGAGCAGCAAACCGTTCGTTACTAACACAGTAGACGAGCATCTTAGACGGATTTGCATGTGCCACGAATGCGCATGCGAACAGTCAAAATTAATGTCTCGCTAGCGCTTCGCGCTTTGAAAACCGATTTGAGAAAATAACGGACTATTTTTCAGTCTACCTTTAAACAGTTAAACAATTTGACGAAAATTTGAGCAAGTGTAGACGTATTGTAAAGTCCCCTTAAAAAAATGAAAATAAAGTTATGTAAGAATTGCTCAAACGGTTTCAAAGTCGATTTCTTTACATCGTGTTCAACTACTGAATGCAAATTATAGCGATCACCAAACACGTTCTCGCTGTTTGTTCATAATACACGTTTAGATTTAAACATTTTTAAACACGTATAACTGAATTATATGCTGCACGTTGGGTTTGTTCTTAACAGATTGTTTAAGCATCTTTTCGAACCACTCAAGCATCTAAACCTCTTGAGAAGGGTGCGTTTCTTTAAGGGAATCCATCAAATTCTAGAGAGAAACTAAGAGAGTAGTTATTGTGACGAAGCGAAGGAAACTATTTTTTTCCCCGATTTTGGTACACTCGAAACCCGTAGTCCTAAGACCGAAAGAGATGAATACCACTCTGTACTGATTAAAAAACGGAAATTTAATCAAGTCACTAGCGTGAAAACGATTTGGGAGACGAGGTAAGGTTGATTTGGACTCTGCGCCGGCGTACCTTCAAAAATTTCCTAGCTACGCCTCTGCAGTATCATTTTTTAGGAGAAACCCGCTTGAATATATTTTAAGACTTAATCCAATAAATGTAATCTGAGGTGGATTCCTTAGATTCGAAATTGTTTGTTTGTTTGTTTTATTTTAAAACAGAAACTCGTATTCCGTTTTTGGATTTAATCTTTTCTCGTTTTGGTCCATCTACAGTACATTCGGGCATCTTATGACACGGATCCGGAGAAGGTTTTGCGCCTGATATTTACGGAATGGAAGCTGGACTTACCCAAGCTACTCATCTCTGTGACCGGCGGCGCCAAGAATTTTGTTCTTAATCCCAAACTGAAACAAGTCTTGAGGAAAGGTCTGCTTAAGGTACAGTTTATGTAAATTGTTGGCGAAAAGGGCTCTCCATCCTACAAAGACAAGAGGAATTTCTTGATTCGGGAAATGATTGATTTACTGTAAACGGCGCGAAGAGGCCGATACACGTTAACGACCTCGCTCAAATTAAGCCTATGACAATGTCTTTTTGTCCAGAGTCGATTCTAGAAAACGTGGACTTTCTCCCAAATTGAAAAAGACTATATAGAAAACGCAGAAATTTAGTTCCTTCAAGATCTTCATCTTTTGGCTAATAACCATGGTTCTAAGGAAATTAAGGATTATTATATTCGCCTTGACAGGCCGCTCAAACTACAGGAGCCTGGATCATAACCGGTGGCACGAATACAGGTGTCATGCGCAATTGGCGAGGCGGTGCGCGGTCACACAGTCATGTCACGTGGACAACACTCAGCAGGTTCATTTAATTGGTATAGCGACCTGGGGAATAGTGGACCACAGAGAGCACGTTATTGGCAAGCAGGTAAATTCAAGTAAAGAAAAGAAAAGTTAAGCAAGGATGGGAAAAGAAAACTAATCCACGCATGACAAGTCAACCAGTAGACGATCCAGAATTTAGCCAATTCTTTCTCTTATAAATGCAAGCCTAATCTTTCGTCGGTTATTTTATTTGACGAACTTCAGGTTAAAATTAGCCACGCGGAAACGCCTTCTAGAAAGGAAAAAGCAGGACTAAAATTTGTCAAGCTCTAACCTTGCTTATTCTACAGTGTTCCAAAATGTGTCCTTACTCAAAAGCACGTCTTCAGCGATCATTCCTTGGGTTCTTGAAGTAACGAAGTAGATGATCACTTCTAAGCCAAGTTCACCTTTTGCAATCATTGTTAACAGATGTATTTTGGTGACTTTGCTGAAAAAAAGTTGTGTTCTTTAAGTCGGGTTTATCGCTAAAAACTCGGTAACAAAATGTAACGTTATTCTAATGTCTTGCTACGAAGCCAAAGTCATAAAAGGTGGGCTGTGAATAGCAAAGTTTGATTGGTTACCGCTAGTCTTAATTGTGTGAAGAAATCACGGGAGACTGATCAGCTTGGGTTGGTTTGCTGAGCTTAACCAATGTTACCCTGGCTCCAGAAATCCGTTCTCAGGCTAAATATCTGGTCGTCGTACAAAACGGGTAAGGAATGCCCGGTATTATTATTAATCAGTAGGTTTGTACTGTCGCAATTTGTAATAATCATCGCACTTTGTAATACCTGTCGCGATTTGTAATAAATCCATCGCACTTTGTAATACCTGTCGCAATTTGTAATAAACCGTGTCTCACTTTGTAATAAAAAATCTGTCGCAATTTGTAACAACTGTCCATCGCACTTTGTAATAAACTAAGCTGTCGCAATTTGTAATAATTCCATCGCACTTTGTAATAACTTTTTGAGAGTAATTAAACTTACTTCGTCAACATTAATATAACGCCAAAATATGCATGGTACTTCATAAACAAAGATGGAGATGACGTCTGCTAGCACGTAACATCTTTTTAGACTAATGTTGATTAGTTATCTGACTTACGAAATGCTGTATTCTTGAACCTTTCTATTGTACTGGGTGGCTTGCATTCAATGGTTACCCGGCGGGTGTACTTCCTTATATGGCCAATACGGGGATTTGTCTCTGGACAGAGCATTGCCAGAGTAGAGGATCTAGACAGAGCTAGACACACTAGACACAAACAAGCCATTATTAAAAAGCATTTAATTTCCGCTAATCGTAACATCCATCCTACATCATTCGAATAAGGACACAAGGAGAGTTCAAGTTTTCCTTGTTAGATCTTATAACAGGTTGACGCATCACGTGGTACACCGTTCTTGTCTAACGAGCAATCTTAAAGAATTAATAGTGGCTTCCATATTTTGGCCAACTAAATCAAACGAGGCCTGTAAAGATTCAAAATGTTTACTGCAAATAAAAAAAAAGTCACCAGTGGCAAACCTTCGAACCACAACAGAAACCTAAACACAAAATCCAATTAGTCGCTGGCCAATACCTTCGTATGTACCTGTTTTTATAACACTCACTTGGGGTCTTACACTGAGCCGGCTGGGCATTTGGTCCATTATTCTCACTTGATTTGGTCCCATATAGGAACAAAAGGAGTACTCATTCCATCTTAAAACAATTGTTTTCTGTAAGGAGTCCTCTAAAGCAAATTAAATACCATGGGGATGGTAAAAAATTATCCTTCCCTGCGTATATACAACTCGTAAGACCTTGCAATTCTTCCGAGCGTGTTCTGGATTACTGTTTTTCTACGAAATGGAAAGGATGGAATAAACCATCCATTACTACTTGAGTTACCCTATCTAAGGATCAAACCAAAGACACAAGGCCAACAACGCGAAAAATGATACCCTATTAAAGGCTCGAGATCCTCAAAAACCATACCCTATCAGGCGGTACTTACCTATCTAGCCCATCCATATATGGGATTATCCGCCCCACCCCCGCCGAAGACTTCACTTGTCACGTGGCAAGCAAACATGGATTTGGACGACGAATGCCAGGTTATTCATGAATTTTCTGTTGTTAAATGTTGCCTTTCTTATTTAAATATTTTTGAATTTAAACGTGATTCATATCTTTTTGGTGATATGTCACAGGAAGTTTCATGTTTTTCATAAAAGCGTTTCTAGTTAGTCACGTGATTAATCAAGGCAGAAAAACCTATAGCGGAAGAAATGAATGTTTGACCAAAGAAAATGTTACGGACATGTTACATGCTAGCAGACGTCATCATCTTTGTTTATGAAATACCATGCATATTTTGGCATTATATTAATGTTGACGAATTAAGTTGAATCACTCTCAAAAAATTATTACAAAGTGCGATGGAATTATTACAAATTGCGACAGCTTAGTTTATTACAAAGTGCGATGGACTGTTATTACAAATTGCGACAGCTTTTTTATTACAAAGTGCGACACGGTTTATTACAAATTGCGACAGGTATTACAAAGTGCGATGGATTTATTACAGATTGCGACAGGTTTTACAAAGTGCGATGATTATTACAAATTGCGACAGTACAAGGTTTGTCCGGTCGAATCCTTGAATAGCCGATCATGATGTTGGATCACGTGATATTTACGGAAATTGTGCAGAAATCAAAATCTCAAAAAAGCAAAGTTTCACACTGACATAAATATCGGGGTTTTTTTCTTTTGGCTCTCCGTTTTTCCTTCTTGGTGTCAACATTTCTCCGTTGTTTTCTTTGACACGTTTCCGTTTGTCAAGTTGTTTTGTGGTATTGCTGTTGTGTTGTAACCTATTTTTCGACCGTCCGTTTTTCGCTTGAGTAGTTCATTGTTTTCTTCTAATCGCTAGCTTCTGTACAGTCATCATGAGTCATACGCTGCTTTTCCTATGCCAATTCTTCGTACCGTGGGCATTATTAGCGTTGTCTCCTGAACCCGTTTTCAGTTAGAGTCCAGTTGCTTCGCATGGTTAGCCACAGTCTCCTTATCACTCATCTCACTCTGTAGGTTCTCGTTGCAGTAGTAGTCGTATTCCGTTACTAGCGATTTCCCGTAAGTAAATACATGTACTTTGTAGCTTCTCTACGTTCCAAGTCTTCATTTAAATGCCCTTGACTAAGGAAAAGTGCCGTCTTTCAATCAATCAGTGCTTTATAATTTTGTTCTTTAGTAGCTACTGACCTCCAAGCTAGCTACTTAGAGTGCAAGTAAAGCAGTTTTTAACTCCTGTAGTGCATGGTTCATGGTAGATGTACGACTGCACGACTTATGTCGACTGAACACTGACGAACTGCAGATGAATTAATTCGTTCGGTGCGCTTGCTCACACAAGCTAATGCGACCCTTCTATTGAAAGAATTATCCAAAATTCGTCTCTGATGATGTGCATTGAGATAATCCTTATGATCGTTTTTCTTTTAGGAACTGGTACCATATCAGATGACTTCCAGCATGATTTCAAAAGGCGCATGCTTGGACAACAATCATACTCATTTTATTCTGGTGGATGATGGGACAATTAACAAATACGGAGGAGAGATTTCATTCCGAGCCAGTCTTGAGAATTGTGTCTCGCGAAAACAGATGGAAAAATCGTGCGGTAGCAACGGCTATCCGTCATACAACTTATATTCTAATTATAGAGTATTTTCAACCTGTCAGGAAACTGTAACGTTGCACAATGCAATAGACTCTCATATAAGTATATTACTTTATTATAGAGCTCCACGGTTTAGATTGTGGGTTGTGGATTGTACCTGTGTCATTTATTTTATTTGTATGTTTGTTTTTTTTTGTTTGTTTGTTTGTTTGTTTGCTTCATTTTATGCGCTGTTTGTTGTAACAGGAAGGACTAACTCTGACTCACCTTGATAATGCGATTGGACCTAGCCAAGGCCGTCAATCAGAATCTGAAAAAGTCTCAAATTTCAATCAGATTTTGTTCTTGGACGAACAAAAAATTGCAGAGGCCCCTTTAAACATTTTCGACATTTGCTTTAACATTCGTTGGAACCAAATCTTCGAAACAGTTTGAACAGATCGCCCAACATTTAACAAGTATTAAAAAAACTCAAAATTGTTTTAAGCTTTTATTCTTCTAACCTGGGAAGTCATAGTTTAATTAACAGTTAATGAATGAGGCTGAGTATCTTATGAAGAATTATGGAGATCCGTCGAGGCCGTAGGCCGCGGCGGATAACAACCTCCGAGATCTCCATAATTCTTCATATGATATTAAAGCCGAATTCAATAATTGTTTTATTATTCATTCAAAATAATTTCTAGTTTCTATCTTTGATAGTGCACATTTAGGGTTGTTCAGCTCCGCAAATATTCTCCAAATAGCAGATGTCGCCCTTGAGTTGTGTTCTTGCTGTTTTTGCGACGTTTTTAGTTATCTTTTCGCCTAGTTCTTACTCTTGAAACGAGTGAAATGTCCGCTATTTTTCAAGTTCACAACCAAAACAACTCAACCTCGTCCCCAGGTCTTCTCTGTTAACTGTGCATTAACCTGCATGAACGCTGCATTTTTTACGTCATTTCCTCACTAAATACAAAATACTTCCAAATTTGGTCATCAGTAACTGGTTATGGTGAATTAAACGTGTGCTTTTAGCCAATCAGAATTAGGGAAATATTTTGAATGAATAATAAAAAGGCTTAACTTGTCTAAGACTTAGTGTTTGACTTTGAAATAAATGACAATGATTACATGTTCATTTTCTCGAAAAATTTAACGTTCACTCAACCTGTTGATACTACGTTGTCCAACCATCATCTGATTTATATTTTTATACATGGATACAATTCTTGAATGTCTCTACAGACCGATCACATGGGGTGCCTGTGGTACTGCTGGTCCTTGAGGGAGGACCTAATACCATTCGCACAGTGCTAGAGTCTGTGACCAGAAACCCAGCTGTACCGGTTGTTGTTGCTGAAGGCAGTGGGCGAGTGGCTGATATCTTGGCTTATGCACATCGCTTTATTTCACAGAGCAGTGGGTAAATGATCTGTTGTATTGTTATGTAAGAAGAAGCTCGACACCGGGTAACGTTTCAGAGAAGCACTTTAATATAAACTGTTAGTATTCGTCTTTATATGTTTAGTGAGTTTGCAACAGAACTCGAACCTCTCATGATAACGTGTGAACGTGCCGCCAATAATGGACGTGAACAGATTTCTCCACAAAACTGTATTTCTGTCAATCAAAAACCTTTGAATGTGAAGGTTACATCATAGGGTTTTGTACAGACTCAAAGAAAGAATTACGTATGAAAAGGTTAAACACGCCTTTGGCTGATTATGATTTATAATAGGAAAATGCACGTGTCAATCAAATCCATAATTTTTCTAATTGTAAATATCATGTTTGCGATTAGAAGCTTTTCTTTGTGCTTTTCTCTCAGCGCGCTTGATGAAATGGCGGATGTTGTGGAACATCACCAACTACTTCTTAAAATCGAAAAAGCTTTTCCTGAATGTGACGACGAAGCTAGGCTGCTTGAAGATCTACGAGAATGTGCTGAGATGCGTGGGAAACAAAAGATATGTATGTCAGCACCTAATATTTTGTTGCTTTCGAAATGTTACTTATGTTAGTTAAAAAAATTTCGCTGAAACAATTTTGCAAGTGTTAAGAAACCTTGATATTATTAATTTACGCGCTTAGCTTAACGTTTATTTGTCAAGCGAAAATATTGATTTGTCTTACTTAATGGTTATTAGATGAACAAGGAGCCTATTGAGGTAACCACGCAGACCTTGTTTCATGCCATAGATGTTTCGTTCCTGAATTTTCCTTTCCTTTCCTTCAGATAACAGTTTTCAGTGTCAATGAAGAAGGAATGGATATCGACAGAGCCATTTTAAAAGCACTATTGAACGGTACTGTGTTGTGATAAAAGTGATTTTTTGGTTCTATCTCTACTCAAGCGTTAATGAAAAGAACAATATACCGAGAAAAACAGTGCTAGAAATGTAGCGAACATGCACAAAAGCACTCGTTTAACAGCATCTAATTATGAAAACAAAGTACATGTCTCTAAACACTCTTCATTAATTTTAAATTTTTCCCCATCCATCTGGTAACAGTCTTGAACAGTCTTCAAAGGCGACATTGTGGTTTGGAAGTATATACCAATAATGTAACAATATTCATTTGAGAATACAAAATCGCATCTCGCGTTGTTCTCATCGCGTAGCTGACGCTCTTTTGTGAAAATACTTCTTTCAACAGAGTATTTTCCCTCACTTTCAGGCAGGCTGCTTATCGAGAGTTAAGATCTAACCTTAACTGTACATATACGTCACAAGTGGCCCTCGCCTCTTGCATTTATGGTCTAAACTGTCTAGGCTGTCCGTTACTCGGCTATTTGTTTGTTTTTTGCTCAAAGGTCACAATGCTTCGCCTTCTGATCAACTGAGTCTCGCGTTGATATGGAATCGAGCAGATATCGCTAAGTGCGAAATCTTCAATGAAGAACGAAATGGGAGGTTTGAGCTTTTTTTCTCTGATCTTTGCTTATCGCGTCTATATATCTTGCTACAATTTGCGTCAATATTTTGGCTGATCATTATGCCCCCTTTTCAGAGCGTACTCTTTACCAGTTTGTAAAACAGGGCTGTAAACTTGCTGTAAACACACCACCCCTGGTATATACCGGCTGTTGAGAGGCGCCATCACACTGAAAGAAGTTCAGTGGAAGGATAGAATCCCCAGCTATTCACACAAAGCAGTTAGTAAAGATACACACCAAACGCCTCACAGGTCACATGCTCTGAAGTGCGGAAACCAAGTAATATAAAACAAGCCGTGGAGAAACTAATAAAAAATAATAATGTAACTATGTAACTGTGTGTGTGAATGTTGAGTGTTAAGTGTTATCGCTCGCTCCCTCCCTTTTTCCTTAGCTTACTATATACCGCTGAGGATAAGAACTGTATGCCTTTAAAAAGGCAAAGAAATAGGAACTAACATGACATCATGAATGCTGGTTTGTTAGATCCCAGTGTTGGAGAGTGCCATGTTTGAAGCTTTAGTAAAAGAGCGTGTGGAGTTTGTGGATCTACTGCTCGAGAATGGTGTCAGCATGTCATCTTTTTTAACAGCTCAGCGACTGGAAGACCTCTACAGATCTGTACGTTATCGTCCATGCTTTTCGTTTATTTATTCTTTCCTTTCTTTCTTTCTTTTTTTTTCATAAACCAAGTGTAGTATAACAGAAATGGTGAACGTTCTACATTGTTGGTTGTGTTTTTCATTCTTTTAATAGACGGCAAGAAAAAGTTGCACATTGCGTCGTCTGCTTGGAGGGAAAATGGTGAGCATCACCTAATTAGCTGAGAAGGTTTGCTTGTTCAGTTTTTTGAGGCGTTTAAGGATGTGCATTTCTATTCTTTGTTATATCTCTGTACGCGTACTTGAAATTTGTCTGATATATGTTTTATTTTAGGCACTTCGTTCCTTCAAACTTGCCGACATAGTAAACATTTTAGAGCGACTACTTGGGATAACTCTTGTCAACCCTCATCACGAATATGGATCGATTAAAAGGGTAACTTAGCTATTACTTTATCTACTAGTAAAGTCACCTAGAATACACAGGTTATGATGAAATGCTAGATTGCAGGTGACGTTACAGCGGCTATGTTGGTTGTCAAGGACAAAACCATTTCTGTCCTCTGAGAACTAAAACCATTTTCATGAAAATTCTTCGAAAATAACTTGATTTTATCGACCACCAACATGGCCGCCTTGTCACGTGGTTGCGAACCAAGAATACGCGATTTGCAAAGACACTTACCAGTCACCCAATCGCTCTACGGAGTCTTTTCGGCCAATTACTATATATTTATTTATTTGTTTATTTATTTATTTACACCTTATTTATCTTACCTGCAGGGTCTAGCCAACATGAAAATGTTTATGTCCCGCTCAGCTAACGATGACGACAGCTATTTCGGCAACGGATTCAGATTGCCATATAACGAGCTGTTACTCTGGGCTGTGCTTTGTAATTTTCATAAAATGGCACTTTCTATGTGGGAGCGTGGTGACGAGAATTTGGCCAAAGCGCTAGTGGCGGGAAAACTCTTCAGATCTCTGGCGAAAGAGATGGCTATATAAAGATGAACTGAAAGGTGACGTATCCGAGGAACTTGAAGCTCATTCACGGTAAGCCCTTGTTTTAGTAGTCATTTTATAACCTCGCTGTTTAACACTTCAATTGAGTGTCAAAATTAGTATTGATCTGAGTTGTATTGGTTCTGCAGTACTATACTACTTAACGTCTTCACTCGACCCATCGAGGTTACGCGTTTTTCAATTGATCGCCGGCTCTACTTTAAAGTGGATGTCTTTTTATAAACGGGAGGTGCTAAATTTATATATTGGTTTCCAGTCGAAGTTTTCCTTAAACGTCATTACTGCTGTGCATACTATTTAGGAATAGACTGATGTTGCCGGATAATCCTGATTTTAAAATAGTGGAATTCTCTCTCAAACGGACTGGTATGGCCGGTCAGTGCTAACCAAATAATAAGCGCTAGTAAATTCATCGGCAACATGTCTCCATCAGCGCAACTGATGACTGGCCTCTGTAGTGCTGTTGTAATCAGTAATGAATTTGCCGTTTGTGATTTCTTATGATCAGTGAGTTTCTAAGCATCGCACTGGGTCTGTTGGATGAGTGCTACCAAACAAATGAAGACTTGGCCCAGCAACTACTCACTTACAACCTGGAGAACTGGGGAGACCAGTGTGGTCTGTCGCTTGCTGTTGCTACTCGACATGAGGAATTCGTGGCTCATACGTGTTGTCAGACACTACCGACAGAGATCTGGATGGGTGCAATGAAATTGGACGAGTGGGCTACACTCAAGGTAACAGTGAAACACTTGAACGATGATTTTCATCTACATTTAATGAACAACATGATATTAATTTGAGGAGGACTCGGAAAAAAAATCCGAGTCCCAGATGGGATTTGAACCCACGACCCTCCGTGACTAGATCACGGAGGGTCGTGGGTTCAAATCCCATCCGGGACTCGGATTTTTTTTCCGAGTCCTCCTCAAATTAATATCATGTTGTTGTTGTTTCATCTTCAATATACACATTTAATGAAAAAAGAAAAAGATATCTTTTCAAAAAATCTCCAAACATAGTCCGAAATCAGTGTCACAGGAACATGCTTTTCAAAACATACAGAATTCATCGTTTAAACTCGATACCTTTAAAGAAATCACGCTCATTAATTTACAAACAAACGTCATAATGTCTATAATCTAGTGTCTATGTATAGCTACTCCTAGTAAACAGACTGATGAAATGGCAAAATGAAAGTTGAAAGGTACTTTCTAGTAGAGCGCAAGTCCAAAGCCATCGGCAAAACGCGAACACTTTTAGTGTAGAGGCCTGGATAGGGAATTAGGGGATCGGTCGTTCAAGAAACTTCTGCTGGACAATACCGTCTGCTGACATTTTTACGCGTACGAACACAGACTACCTAATGATAAGTAACCCACACTGCCATTTTCGACTACTATAAGGTCATTAAACCATATTTAGTCTAAATATCATAACAGCAGAATTTGATTTGTAACATTTCCAAACTGTGCTCGGAATCTTGTGTCCTCCCACAATTCCATTCAAAGAGTTTAAGAACAAGAAAGAATTGTGCCAAATGCAAGTAACCTACGAAGAATACGAACAAGAGCAGGCAAAATCGGACCAAGATGAAGAGGAAACTTGTGAGAGAAACTCAGAGAAGCTCAACGGAAACGTTGCTCAGTACACTAAAGGTGACTCGCAAGTTAACTTCAGGTAATTGAAAAGTGTGAGAAGTCGGCAAACATTTCACAGGAGCCTTTTAAGAAAGGGCAAGAAGGGTGGGGAGAGGAGCAGGGGGGGTGGGGAAAGATCAGCGATGAGTGTAATATCACTTCATACGCAATCGAATTAAGCACGTGCAAAGTTAACACGAGCAATAAATCACGAAAACACATCAAAAAATATATAACTTAGCAGCATTTTAATTACAAAATTAATTACGTACATTCTTCACTTGCCCGGCTGTTGCTGATTCATCGTCTTTTTTTAATAGCCATAGTAATATAACGATCTGATTTCCTTTACTCACTGAACATACACCGTCAATTTCAGATTTTGCGTCTCACAGTGTCCACCCTTTCTGTTATCGAGGGAGGACAAATGTCCGTCGGAAGTAGAAATTAGATAATATGTCTTTCCAAGTTGCGCGTAAAGATCTTTTAAAACAACTTGCTTTATTTGTTCAGGGTCTTTACATTTCAGCAGCAGTTTGCCATCTGATGCATCGCACATTTGGTATCCACTTGACCCAACTAACCACACGTTTTCAAACATCATATCGTAAGGCATTCTTCCATCTACGTCTTCAACGTTCGGACATACTATAGCAAGTTTATCTCCTGCGCTCATAACTAGCGCTTTGTTTCCACCAGCAAAATTTGGGCCTTCTCGGGACCATTTTACCGGGACGATCAAGCAACTTGCCTTGAAGAACACGGCGTCAAAAATCAGTGATAGTAGAAATAAATTTGCCAAAGCCTGAAAAGTCATTAGCCGTGACAGTCGATTGCAATTGGACTTCGCTGCCCTCCTATTCCATTCCTTGGTTAAAAAACAGCATCTATGTCGTTTCGTTTTAATATTTTACGTGTTAGACATAGAAGGCGTTTTGGTCCCCACCTCTGACAGTGTTTTAGCTGGTTACCAGACAAGATATCATTTACCTGTGTATTTTGCATGCAGGTGCCATTTTTGTTGTAATCAAAGCGTTTCAAATGTCGCAGCGGTTTTCTCTCAATTTCGAATTTGAATCAGTTGCGTTTCTAGGGTGTAATGTGCCATAGTTTGCTGTCCTTAGTGTTCCCTTGAAATACTCAATAACCAGCACACAAATAATCGATGTATCAGTGGAAGGCTGGACTAGCAATGAAGCCTTGCATGTATAAAAGCCGATTCCCTTGTCTCAAACCTTAGCCAGTCACTGTGAAAGCATTTTTTTACCTCCACAAATACAACACAATGGGCTTGGGCTACTTACGTAAGGTCTCTTAACAATATAGGAAGTTTCTAGGCGTTGTTTACCTGGGGGAAGCCCTTGGCGGCTACTCAGCAAAGATTTATACAGCCGGGAATGGTCCGCCCCAAAGTCCAACCCTTTATTTTTGACAGAAAAAGTTCTTCCTTTGTATACCTTCCATCAAAAATTTGTACCCCTTTTACATTCCATCCGCTTAGATGAGATTTCCGTCTTAGAAGTAAACACAAAACTTTCATCTTGGTTAAATGCAGGCTTTCGCTACAACTTTGTAATAGATCATTCCAGAACACAACCAAAGAAAACCCTCCTAGCACATGTTTGGAAGACTAAACTAATCTAGGCCAACCGCAGGCGATTCATATCTCCTTTGTTCACATGAAGAGGGGGATTGTAATAAATAACGATTCAAAGGCAGAAAATCCATTTAGCGGTTCTTCGCACCAATGCTGATGGAATTGTAATTTGGAAATATTTTGGTGTTGTGGAGAAGGCCAAAATGTAACCCGAGAGCCGGGAAAAATTAAACCACCACAAGCTGAACCCACTTATGAATTATCCTCCGGGTTCCAAGCTGGAATCAGTTTCTCTAAAGTCCCAAAAATTACCCGTCACGGAAAGCTGTTCTGTTGACGTTCAAGATCGATGCTTTAACAGTTCACAATATGATAGAACAATCAAAAAACAAAACTCAAGGAAGGACCGACGCTTTTATTCTGTAGATCTTTTTCTAATACAGTCAACTCCCTTTATAGCGGACACCGTGGGGACCACGAGTTAGTGTCCTCATTAGCGAGAGTCCGTAATAGCGGGACTTTATTTCAGTCAAACGTCTGTAAATTATTTTTGCCTCGGATTTAGCTGCTGTCCGTATTATCGGGGTGTCCGCTATAGTGGAGTTTTCGCAAGGCGAGAGTTGATTGTACTTGCTTTAATCCCCGAAACGGAACGGGGTATTCGAGAAACAGCTGGTCCCTGGGCTGCTTTTGAAGGAGGCGAGTGTACTAACCAATGAACCACAGGGTTAACAAATAACGCGATATAAAACGAAAATTCTTTATATCGGGCTAAGAAATCACTGATCACAAATCATAGCAAATATTTCCAAATCTTTTTGGTTAGGTCTGTTAACTTGACTGTGTAACATTAATTACCGTCAGGATTCACAGGTAGAAAGTCAGCTTGTATAACTGCAGGTTTTATTCGACACATAACTTTCAACAGGTAGTAGTTACATTCTAATCGCACTTTTATCTTAAAGGACTTCATAATCGCACACGGCGATACCAGCCAAACTAATATATAGAAGCACTTGCTGGGCTTAGCTTCAGAATACATACTTTTCATCGTTTATACAGATGCTGTTCGTTTATACGGCTTATCTTGACTTTTTTAGCCTAGTTAAGATTCTCTGTGAGCCAAATGAATGCAGTTCCGGCATTTTGAGACCTGAGGCTGTCGCTTGTGTCGTGTCCACGTAGTTTGGTTTTCGCTTGCTTTTTCAACTGGGTACTTGTTGACGCATGCGTAGTGATATGATAAATTCTCATTTTCTCCAAACTCCGGTTAGTGTTACGTGGCTTCGACGAAAGTATCCTCTTACTAATATTGGCATTGACAACCTGATAACTTAACAATTGAATTTCAGTCTAGTTTTAGCTTAAGCTGAAACTAACGAGGACCCGAAATTTCAGGAATGAAGTAAATATATTAAAAATGTGTTGATTGAGTCTTGGCCAGTTGAGAGATAAAGAGCTATTTTTTTTACCGTAAATCCTTTATTAAGCCCCAAGGGGAGTTATTTATTTCAACCACGTTTGAAGGGAGGGGCGGGGTGTTTAAAGGGGGATGGAGGGGTGGGGCTGATTTAATTTAGCGAAGATGAAAGTATCAGTTTTCCATGAAAATTTGAACGCAAAGTGGAAAAGCTCGGGCAGATTTCTTGCACTTTGCACTTAAAAGTTGGAGATCATGTAGTGTAAGATCAAAACCAAGTCCGAACTTCCAGCACGTGTGAATAAATCATACCGGATTTGTCTGCGTGAAGTGTTACAGTTTTGATTAATTGATACAGTCTCATTCAAGAATAGAGGGGACATGGATGGGGGCTTAAAAAGACGGGGGGGGCTTATTTGAGAGATGGGTCTTTTAATAGAGGGTTTTCGGGTATCTTGTCTTAATATCGGCGATTTTCCAATTAAATTGTCTCTAATTGTCATGGATTTAAGTGTTCCTGTTTGTCTGTTGTTTTTTCTACCTTGTCACTCTCGACCCACAGCCGTTCCGGAAGTAGTGAGTCGCTGAGTGTAATCAGACGCGGATGCAGGATTGACGAGAGTGCCAAGGCTAAGCATGGCACCAAAAACCTGAGCCTGGGTCATAGACTGTACGAGTTTTACCGTGCACCTATCACTAAATTCTGGGGAAATGTGGTTTGTACTTTAATATGTTAACGAGTTACAACGTGACAACGATATTTCCTCCGAAACTACTATGATCTGAATTCCGCTTACTTTCGAAAAACTCTGAGAATGAGGTTGAAGAAGCGCAAAACGTCGGTTTCTTAATCACCGCTTTATATAGACGTGCTATTTTAAAATGTTCTCTTGTGCGTACCTCTTCGTCAGCGGGTGTACGCCAGAATAGATTTTACCGTTTTTACTCGTCATGCATTAAATGAAATTTAACTGATTACGGGAAACTTTGAATGAAGATGAATGCAATAATTTTTCTCATCCCCGAAAGCAATAAATGAAGGTTGGAACGCCCACCCACTCAGTGGAAGAGATGTTTTACGAGATATTTAACCAAATCTGGAGCTCCTGACATAGTGCCTTTCTTAAAAAAAAACATTTCTTATGGCCGACCCAAAACCAAGAGGGATGAACGATATATGTTTTTTCATGGAAGTGCCCGTATACAACTCGGAAGGGCGTGGTTGTATTTAATTACAAGTTTCAGTTGGATACTCCAGAGGACCTCCTTTTCATTTGCTTAACAATTGCCTCTACTGTATTTTACCCCCCAGAAATTTAGAGGACTGTCTTTGTAATTTTTTCTTGATTCACCATTTTCACATTTCCATAATACAAAAATTTTGCAGAAGTCTTCAAATTTTCTTGGGACGACTTTAAAACCCATGTGAAAGTTTGGTGGTAAACAAAGTGTATTATGGGAAATGTGAAAATGATGACTGCAAAAGTTTCCCTAGTCGTTCTCGATATTACGTTGAAGCTCTTGATTTCAGCTAAGTATCTAGTTGTCTTAGCTGAGCTTACTTTCTCATGACAGATTATGTACTTCGCGTTCCTGCTGGTATTCTGTTACGTCATTTTAGTTCGTCTTCCTCCCCACCCTCCCCCGTGTGAAATGCTCCTGATCATCTTTGTGTTCACATTGTTGACTGAGGAAGTAAGACAGGTAGTTATTGCGAAATATTGGCAAAAAGGATTTTTAGATTTACGCCAGTTTTTGTTGTTGCGTTATGGCTGTTGTGCTTGTGTTTGTTGAAGGTTAGT